CAAGGATAACAATAACAGCAACAGTAATAATAATAATAATAATAATAATAATAATAATAATAATAATAATAATAATAATAATAATCCCCCAGCAGTAATAAAGTAAGATAGTCAGATAATAAAGGCAGGTAATGGTAGTGACCATCACAGACTCGTCAAGACTCGAGATTGGAAAGAATTTACGATCCATATTTCTTCAATGGCTGCTCTCCCTGGTGACTGTTGCAATACTGCGAGACTTTACGATACTCTGCCCTTGGTGCCGGTGAAGTGCTCTTGATCCCAGGACTTGGAGCTACCCTCATGCAAGCGAGTCTATTGTGATCTTCGGAAAACTCAGTTCTGAATATACTCTCTCTGCTTTCTGAAGGGAACCAATCACGACGCTGGACTATTATCACCGACCAATGAAAATGCACACACGGCATGTGTTTACTTTCCATAACACTCTGCGGCCAATCACAATTCAGGGTTATTGAATGGGCGACCAATGAGAAGTAGTTCAGGACTGGAGATTGTTTACTTATGGTTGAAGTTACGGTTGTGTCCTAAGTTGTTTGAGCAATCTTGTCGGTCCACCGCAGTATGATAAATATTCTTGATGTTTGTTCGTGTGTTTGATTATAAGTTGTTGCTGTTATGTAACAGATTTTCATCAGATTGTCTTAATGCTGTCTCCAGCCTGGTCTAGGCTGGCCTGGTCTGACCTGGCCTGGTCTAACCTGGCCTGGTCTATATTGGTTTGGTCTAGGTTTGTCTGGTCAGTGTTGGTCTGGTCTAGGATGGTCTGGTCTAGATTGGTTTGGTCTAGGTTGGTCTGGCCTAGGTTGGTCTGGCCTAGGTTGGTCTGGCCTAGGTTGGTCTGGCCTAGGCTGGTGTGGCCTAGGCTGGTCTGGCCTAGGCTGGTCTAGCTGCCACTCCAGCATCCATACAATTATTAAGATATTAAAATTAAAGGAAGAGTGTCAGGGCATCCTCTCCTTAAACATCTCTGGTCCAGAGATGTGTTCCAGGTCTCTTCCTCCTCTTACTACTACTACTACTACTACTATTACTACTACTACTACTACTACTACCACCACCACTACTACTACTACTACTACTACTACTACTACTACTACTACTACTACTACCACCACTACTACTACTACTACTACTACTACTACTACTACCACCACTACTACTACTACTACTACTACTACTACTACTACTACCACCACTACTACTACTACTACTACTACTACTACTACTACTACTACTACTACCACTACTACTACTACTACTACTACTACTACTACTACCACCACTACTACTACTACTACTACTACTACCACCACTACTACTGCTACTACTACTACTACTACTACTACTACTACTGCTACTACTACTACTACTACTACTACTACTGCTACTACTACTACTACTACTACTACTACTACTACTACCACTACTACTACTACTACTACTACTACTACTACTACTACCACCACCACTACTACTACTACTACTACTACCACCACTACTACTACTACTACTACTACTACTACTACTGCTACTACTACCACCACCACTACTACTACTATTACTACTACTACTACTACTACTACCACCACTACTACTACTGCTACTACTACTACTACTACTACAACTACCACCACCACTACTACTACTATTACTACTACTACTACTACTACTACCAACACTACTACTACTACTACTACTACTACTACAACTACCACCACCACTACTACTACTATTACTACTACTACTACTACTACTACCACCACTACTACTACTACTACTACTACTACTACTGCTGCTGCTGCTGCTGCTACTACTACTACTACTACTACTACCACCACTACTACTGCTACTACTACTACTACTACTACAACTACCACCACCACTACTACTACTATTACTACTACTACTACTACTACCACCACTACTACTACTACTACTACTACTACTACTACTACTACTACCACTACTACTACTACTACCACCACTACTACTACTACTACTACTACTACTACTACTACTACTACTACTACTACTACTACTACTACTACTACTACCACCACCACTACTACTACTACTACTACTACTACTCACTGAAATCACTTCTCAAAGTATTCAGAATAGAAATGTTTATAGAGTTTAAACGCTACGTAGCGCGGTATTTCTTCACCAATAGGATGATAGAACACTGAATGATATCGATGAGGGACTGGTGAAATTGATTTCCATACAGAGTTTAAAGACTGGGTCGACCCAAGGCACTGCGAAACAACAACGATAGTTGGCCACTTGTCAAAATATGTTTCGTTCGCTTCATCTTCACTCCACTGTGTAATAAATAGTTGGCCACTTGCTAAAATGTGTTTCGCTCGTGTCATCTTCACTCCACTGTGTAATAAATAGTTGGCCACTTGCTAAAATGTGTTTCGCTCGTGTCATCTTCACTCCACTGTGCAATAAACCGCTAATATATCTCCTCTGTCAGCTTCAGAAGGCTGCCAGGACTCAGAAACCTTCTGCTAAACCCACTTCAGCTTCAGCATCAGCACTGGAAAGCACCTCAGAGGAAGTGTACCAGCCCTCACACAACTCTGTGGTTTTTAACCTCAAGAACCAAGTAGGAGGCCTTGCCAAGGCTCTTGAAGTCTTCCAGGTGAGCTTAACAGAATATCTTAGACAGGTACGTCAGTAAGAAGGGATTGATTGATGAATTAGACATTTGTTCATTAATTAGGAGTCTTTATTATTCAATTCTAAGCTCAATAATAACCCACATGTAGACAGAAATTTGGGAGATTAATTGATCTGTATATTTCGACACCTTCTGGGATTCTCTTTATCTGCTGAAGAGGATCCCAGAATGGAGTCAAAATAGACAGCTTCATTAATCTCCTGTGTTTGTCTCCTTGTGGGTTATTACTGAGTACTGTCAAATGTTTTTTACACCGTAGTTATCCATACAATTCGACATGTCACAGTTTCTATTTTTCTCGTTTTTTTTTCTTCGTTGGTACTCTCCCGGCCCGGGTCTTTTCCAAGTAGTGGTGACCCGGCCTTGGCTCCCTATCTGGGGAGTATCTCGAGACTTAAGTCTTCCATGGGAGGAGGTACAAGTGCCCTCTCATCTTTGGGACCAACTGTCCCCAGGTCTAGCCACAGTCCCCGCCCTCACGGGGCTCGTAGGGAGAAGCTAGGCCTCTGGTCTGCCATCTGCCCCGCCCCTTCTCATTGTTGCTAACAGTTTTTGATGTGTTAAGAGAGTTTGACTGGTAGATAGGGAGTGAAGAGGGGAGGTACCCTTGTAAGTCATGTTACACACCTGGTCCACCCTGTTACACACCTGGTCCACCTTGCTACGTACCCTGCAGGACCGGGGCATCAACGTGGTCCACATTGAGAGTCGTAAGTCCCGCCGTCGCAACTCGGAGTACGAGATCATGGTAGACATCGAGTGCGACAACTCTAAGATGGACGACCTGACGCGACTCCTGCAGCGACAGCTGTCGTGTCTGAGTCTACACGACTACGACAAGGGTGAGGACTTCCCACCGCCCACGCCCGTGAGTCAGGAGAGCTTCGGTGAGTCAGTGTGGCTGGGTGAGGTTGATTAAGTCAATCATGTGACGTAAGAAAACTTTAGTGAGAAATTCATGTGAACTAAGAAAGCTTTTGGTGAATGAGTTATGTAAAGCAACAAAACTCCTCAAAACTCTACATAAATTATATGCAGTGATCACTTACTTTCCCATTACCAGAACCATAGAACATATACATAGTCCTCACAATAAACAGAAGACTGTGTTGGGAGTCGAACCGTAGTGTTGGCAGGTAGTAAGTCCACCACCCTACCACTGAACCACTCTTCTGTATGCCAGTTAACAGTCTTCCACTTAAAAATACCTGGAATTCATAGCACTAACAGAGCGTTTGTAGCAATACTTTTTTCACTTAGATATAGTCTTGCATAGGCCAGTAGACCTAGTGTAGTGCTCCTCTATTTTGTATTTCTGTGCGTGAGTGTCCTCTTCTGCAGATTTGAGCGACATGTGCCCCTGGTTCCCACGCAAGATCAGTGACCTGGACAACTTTCAGAAAGTACTTATGTATGGTTCTGACCTGGACGCTGACCATCCTGTGAGTATCACACACACCACACACACACACACACACACACACACACACACACACACACACACACACACACACACACACAGACACACAGACACAGACACAGACACACAGACACAGACACAGACACAGACACAGACACACACACACACACACACACACACACACACACACACACACACACACACACACACACACACACACACACACACACACACACACACACACCACACACAGCACACACACACACACACACACACACACACACACACACACACACACACCACACACACACACACACACACACACACACACACACACACACACACACACACACACACACAGGTCAGAGTATAAGTATCTGTTGCTTACACACGAATTTACTATCTTTAAACACTATCTTTAACATTATCTTTAATACTATTTTAACACTATCTTTAGCACTATCTTTAACATTATATTTAACACTATTTTAACACTATCTTAAACACTATCTTTAACACTATCTTTAATTACTCATATACACTAATTATGCTCAACTTCATTACGTTGCTAATTTAACCAACAAGTAAATTAACTCCTGTGTGTGTCTCACTATTTTTCACTATCAAAATTTCTCATTATTTATTTTCATTTCTCACCATTTTTTACTATTTCTCTTCATTTCTCACCATTTCTCATCATTTTTGCCTATTTCTTCTTGGTTCTCACAATTTCTCACTATATTTATTACTATTTCTCACTGTCATTATTTCTCACCATTTCACACTATTCTCACTATTCTCCCAGTATTCCTCACTATTTTCTAGATATTTTTTCACCATTTCTCACTATTTCTCCCTCTGTTTACTCAGTGGTGATATTGGTTTTCTCAGTGGGTCTCAGTTCCCAAACTTTCAACTGTAATGAGTTACGTCGCTTGATTTCACCAGGTGTCTTGATGTTGGGAGGGGCTCTTGATCCAAGGGCCCCTCCCAGCATCAAGACACCTCGCTTTACCCCTCCTTTGTGGGGGCTAGTAACCCAGGATATGCAAATTAAAGCCAATGGCTGGCTGGCTTGTTTTCATTTGTGGATGTTTATTGCTCTCCCCCAGGATGCCACCCACACCAGGTACCTACTTATTGTTAGGTGAACAGGGACAGCAGCTGTAAGGTGACTAACACTCAGGTACCTAGTTATTGCTAAGTGAATAGTGTCAGTAGGTAAGCGTAACTAACACCAAGGTACTTACTGCTAGGTGAACAGTGACAGCAGGTGTAAGGTGACTAACACCCAGGTACCTAATTACTGCCAGATGAATGTTGTCAGTCTTACTTTATAAATCAAACAGTCGTAAGTCACAAGTAGTCGCGTAGTAAATCTGAAGTCGTAAGTCTTCCTATCTATCGAAACAACGTTAATATCCACCAAGGAAACGTCAAATAATTGGCCATATAATGTGGTGTGACGGGGTGGAAGAGAAGTCCAGCAACTGACACAAAGCGGCTTACTAAACCTTTGATGCGAAGTTAGAGTTCTTCAATGGTACTGATTAACCTAGGGCAGGTTGGGGGAAGTCCTTGGTGGGGGATGTCCTTGTTGGGGGAAGTCCTTGGTGGGGGATGTCCTTGTTGGGGATGTTCTTGGTAAGGGATGTTCTTGGTAAGGGATGTCCTTGTGGGGGATGTCCTTGGTGGGGGATGTTTTTGGCGGGGAAAGTCCTTGGTGGGGATGTTCTTGGTGGGGGATGACCTTGGTGGGGGAAGTCCTTGTTGGGGGAAGCTTTTGGTGGAGTAAGTTCTTGATGGGGATGTTCTTGGTGGGGGATGTCCTTGTGGGGGATGTCCTTGACGGGGGATGTATTTGATGGGGGAGGTATAATAACAGTGTCCGTGAATTAGCATATTACATTCTACAGTTGGTGTGAGTGTATGTAGAAGTCTTCTTCTGGACACAATAAGAACACTGTTGTCTTCTGGCAGGGCTTCAAAGATCCAGTTTACAGAAAGAGAAGACATTACTTCTACGATCTGGCTATGAACTACAAGTTGTGAGTATTATGTATTAATATGTCAACATGACTCACGAAATCGTAATGACACGATTGCAAACAAACCATAACCACGGGCGGGATTGAACCTGCGGTCAGAGAGTCTCAAAACTCCAGACCGTCGCGTTAGCCACTGGACCAGCTAGCTAGCTGGTCCAGTGGCTAACGCGACGGTTCAATCCCGCCCGTGGTATGGTTTGTTGCATACACTCTTCTTGCCGAATAAGGCAAGAAGAGTGTTGCTATTTTGCTTACTAAAAATTGCAAGTTTTACCTGTTCGGAACGACATATATATATGATCATTAATATCTCTATAATCATTCTTGTGGGTTTAATTATTCTCAAAATTATTTTGAAGAATGATAACAAATTTGCTTCTGTAAACCTGTGTTTTTTAAGTTGGTAATACTTAGTGTATTTTATTTTAATATTTGAGGATAATTATAGGGGATTAGAGGCAAGTTATAGAGGGTTGGAGTATAATGCTGTGTTTCTCTGCGTGATGCTGTGTTTCTCTGCGTGATGCTGTGTTTCTCACCGGGATGCTGTGCTTCTCACCATGATGCTGTGGAACAGTGGGCAAGACATACCCAGAGTGGAGTACACGGCGGAGGAGATAAGTACCTGGTGAGTGTGTGTGGTTTCAATGATCGAGTCACAGCTCCTGGCCCCGTCTCTTCGTTGGTTGGTACTAGGTCCATTCTCTCCCTGCTCTAAATACCGTGAATGTGTGTGTGTATGTGTGTGTGTGTGTGTGTGTGTGTGTGTGTGTGTGTGTGTGTGTGTGTGTGTGTGTGTGTGTGTGTGTGTGTGTGTGTGTGTGTGTGTGTGTGTGTGTGTGTGTGCGTATGTGTGTGTGTGTGTGTGTGTGTGTGTGTGTGTGTGTGTGTGTGTGTGTGTGTGTGTGTGTGTGTGTGTGTGTGTGTGTGTGTGCGTATGTGTGTGTGTGTGTGTGTGTGTGTGTGTGTGTGTGTGTGTGTGTGTGTGTGTGTGTGTGTGTGTGTGTGTGTGTGTGTGTGTGTTTTGTCAAGTCCAGGAATATGCAGTGCACCCAACCCTTCCTCTCCTGCTCGGTTTCAGCTGTCTTGGGTTAGAATTCAGGCAGGCTCGTGAGACGTGCTTTACCATCTCTAAAACTCTGATGGCTGTTGTTTATGATCTCTCTCCTTCCAGGTGCCCCATCTCTCACCTCCTGATTATCCTCTCCATCACGTTACGTAGTGTATATGTCAGTGACACTGGTCTGTAGTTTAAGAGCCACGTAAGTACCCCCGTCTTCTAAATAAAATATTCATTTTCCCACTATAATCTACCTTGTCCATAATTACTATCACATTTACTGTGTCTGTTTCGTAAATTGACGTCCAGGATCTTTACTCTGTATTTAACTTAACAAATCTTTGAGGACGATTGTGTTGTAGATGTCTGACTTTGTTAAGTTATACCATAAATTAAGTAAAGATCCTGGACTTCACCTTACGAAACAGACACAGTAAATGTGCTGGTAATTATGGACAAGGTAGATTATAGTGGGAAAATGAATGTTATTTAGAAGACTGGGGAACTTACGTGGCTCTTAATGCTGCCTGTCAGCCCATCTTACTAAATAGTCGGACTGTAGTGTTCGTCAAGAGAGACTGAAGAAATAGGGGTGAAGAGATGAAAAGGAGAGATAAAGAGGTAGAAAGAGACGATGAAGCAGAGATAAGAAAGAGATGAGGGAGAAGAGACAAGGAGGAAAGCAGTAAAAAAAAAATAGAAATCTTTGAAGTCGTCAAAAGTTAAGGAATGAGAAATGAAGAAACAATTGGAAGACTTCTGAAGACAGGAGCGAGTTTGGTGCCAATAATTAATTTAAGGCGGCCATTTTGGTCTCCGAGGAGGTAGGAGGAGGTAGAAGGGGGTAGGAGGAGGTAGGAGGAGGTAGGAGGAGTTAGGAGGAGGTAGGAGGAGGTAGGAGGAGGTAGGAGGAGGAGGAGGAGGATGTAGGAGGAGGGAGGAGGAGGTAGGAAGAGGTAGGAAGAGGTAGGAGGAGGTAGAAGGAGGTAGGAGGAGGGAGGAGGAGGAGGAGGAGGTAGGAGGAGGTAGGAGAAGGTAGGGGGAGGTAGGAGGAGGTAGGAGAAGGTAGGAGGAGGTAGGGAGAAGGTAGGAGGAGTAGGGAGGAGGTAGGAGGAGGTAGGAAGAGGTAGAGAGGAGGTAGGAGAGGAGGTAGGAGGAGGTAGAGGAAGGAGGTAGGAGGAGGTAGGAGGAGGAGGTAGAGGAGGTAAGGAGGAGAGTAGGAGGAGGTAGAGGAGGTAGGAGGAGGTAGGAGGAGGTAGGAGGAGGTAGGTAGGAGGTAGAATAAGGAGGAGGAGGTAGGAGGAGGTAGGAGGAGGTAGGTAGGAGGTGGTAGAATAGAGGAGAGGAGGTAGGTAGGAGGTAGGATGGTGTGAGGTAGGAGGTAGGAGGAGGTAGGAGGAGGAGTGAGGAGGAGGAGGTAGGAGGTAGGTAGGAGGAGGTAGGAGGGGTAGGAGAGGTAGGAGTAGGTAGGAGAGGTAGAGGAGGTAGCAGGTAGAAGAGAGGAGGAGGAGGAGGTTAGGAGGAGGTAGGAGGAGAGTAGGAGAGAGGTAGGGGAGGTAGGAGGAGAGGATAGAGAGGAGGTAGAGAGGAGGAGAGACTAGGAGGTGTCAGGACGGAGAGTAGAGGAGGACTTTGGTAGGTAGAGGATGAGAGGAGGAGGAGGATAGGCCTAGGAGGAGGTTAGTGAGAGGCTACGTGTGAGAGAGACTACTGACATAGAGAAAACGGTATGGAGTCTGTGAGGATGAGAGACTGACTGTAGTGAAGAGATCTGAGTGAGAGACGTGAGTGAAGAGATCATACGTGAGTGAGAGAGATACATTACTGTGAGTGAGAGAGATACATTACTGTGAGTGAGAGAGATACATACTGTGAGGAGGATATAACTGTGAGTGAGGTAGGAGAGAGCATTACTGTGGAGAGAGATACATACTGTGAGTGAGAGAGATACATACGTGAGTAAGAGTACATCCTGAGTGAGAGAATTAATGGAGAGCTGGGAATACATACTGTGATGGAGAGATACATACTGTGTGTGGAGAGATACATTACTGTGAGTGAGAGAGTACATACTGTGAGTGAGAGAGATACATACTGTGAGTGAGAGAGATACATTACTGTGAGTGAGAGAGATACATTACTGTGAGTGAGAGAGATACATTACTGTGAGTGAGAGAGATACATCACTGTGAGTGAGAGAGATACATCACTGTGAGTGAGAGAGATACATTACTGTGAGTGAGAGAGATACATCACTGTGAGTGAGAGAGATACATCACTGTGAGTGAGAGAGATACATCACTGTGAGTGAGAGAGATACATCACTGTGAGTGAGAGAGATACATCACTGTGAGTGAGAGAGATACATCACTGTGAGTGAGAGAGATACATTACTGTGAGTGAGAGAGATACATTACTGTGAGTGAGAGAGATACATTACTGTGAGTGAGAGAGATACATTACTGTGAGTGAGAGAGATACATTACTGTGAGTGAGAGAGATACATTACTGTGAGTGAGAGAGATACATTACTGTGAGTGAGAGAGATACATTACTGTGAGTGAGAGAGATACATTACTGTGAGTGAGAGAGATACATTACTGTGAGTAATGGAGTGAGAGATACATCACTGTGAGTGAGAGAGATACATCACTGTGAGTGAGAGAGATACATTACTGTGAGTGAGAGAGATACATTACTGTGAGTGAGAGAGATACATTACTGTGAGTGAGAGAGATACATCACTGTGAGTGAGAGAGATACATTACTGTGAGTGAGAGAGATACATTACTGTGAGTGAGAGAGATACATTCACTGTGAGTGAGAGAGATACATTACTGTGAGTGAGAGAGATACATCACTGTGAGTGAGAGAGATACATCACTGTGAGTGAGAGAGATACATCACTGTGAGTGAGAGAGATACATACTGTGAGTGAGAGAGATACATCACTGTGAGTGAGAGAGATACATCACTGTGAGTGAGAGAGATACATCACTGTGAGTGAGAGAGATACATCACTGTGAGTGAGAGAGATACATCACTGTGAGTGAGAGAGATACATTACTGTGAGTGAGAGAGATACATTACTGTGAAGTGAGAGAGATACATTACTGTGAGTGAGAGAGATACATACTGTGAGTGAGAGAGATACATTACTGTGAGTGAGAGAGATACATTACTGTGAGTGAGAGAGATACATCACTGTGAGTGAGAGAGATACATCACTGTGAGTGAGAGAGATACATTACTGTGAGTGAGAGAGATACATTACTGTGAGTGAGAGAGATACATCACTGTGAGTGAGAGAGATACATCACTGTGAGTGAGAGAGATACAATCACTGTGAGTGAGAGAGATACATCACTGTGAGTGAGAGGATAACATCACTGTGAGTGAGAGAGATACATCACTGTGTGAGGATAATACGTAGTGAGAGAGATACATTACTGTGAGTGAGAGAGATACATTACTGTTAGTGAGAGAGATACATTCACTGTGAGTGAGAGAGATACATTACTGTTAGTGAGAGAGATACATCACTGTGAGTGAGAGAGATACATCACTGTGAGTGAGAGAGATACATCACTGTGAGTGAGAGAGATACATCACTGTGAGTGAGAGAGATACATTACTGTGAGTGAGAGAGATACATTACTGTGAGTGAGAGAGATACATTACTGTTAGTGAGAGAGATACATTACTGTGAGTGAGAGAGATACATTACTGTGAGTGAGAGAGATACATCACTGTGAGTGAGAGAGATACATCACTGTGAGTGAGAGAGATACATTACTGTGAGTGAGAGAGATACATCTACTGTGAGTGAGAGAGATACATTACTGTGAGTGAGAGAGATACATTACTGTGAGTGAGAGAGATACATTACTAGTTAGTGAAGAGAGATACATACTGTGAGTGAGAGAGATACATTACTGTGAGTGAGAGAGATACATTACTGTGAGTGAGAGAGATACATACTGTGAGTGAGAGAGATACATTCACTGTGAGTGAGAGAGATACATTACTGTGAGTGAGAGAGATACATTACTGTGAGTGAGAGAGATACATTACTGTGAGTGAGAGAGATACATACTGTGAGTGAGAGAGATAATCATGATCACTGTGAGTGAGAGAGATACATTACTGTGAGTGAGAGAGATACATTACTGTGAGTGAGAGAGATACATTACTGTGAGTGAGAGAGATACATTACTGTGAGTGAGAGAGATACATTACTGTGAGTGAGAAGAATAACATTACATTGTGAGTGAGAGAGATACATTACTGTGAGTGAGAGAGATACATTACTGTGAGTGAGAGAGATACATTACTTGTGAGTGAGAGAGATACATTACTGTGAGTGAGAGAGATACATTACTGTGAGTGAGAGAGATACATTACTGTGAGTGAGAGAGATACATTACTGTGAGTGAGAGAGATACATTACTGTAGAGGAATCGTGATGAAGAGATACATTACTGTGAGTGAGAGAGATACATTACTGTTAGTGAGAGAGATACATTACTGTGAGTGTGAGGAGAGATACATTACTGTGAGTGAGAGAGATACATACTGTGAGTGAGAGAGATACATTACGTGAGTGAAGAGATACATTACTGTGATGAGAGATACATTACTGTGAGTGAGAGAGATACATTACTGTGAGTGAGAGAGATACATTACTGTGAGTGAGAGAGATACATTACTGTGAGTGAGAGAGATACATACTGTGAGTGAGAGAGATACATTACTGTAGTGAGAGAGATACATTACTGTGAGTGAGAGAGATACATTACTGTGAGTGAGAGAGATACATTACTGTGAGTGAGAATAGATACATTATGAGAGCTGAGAGAGATACATTACTGTGAGTGAGAGAGATACATTACTGTGAGTGAGAGAGATACATTACTGTGAGTGAGAGAGATACATTACTGTGAGTGAGAGAGATACATTACTGTGAGTGAGAGAGATACATTACTGTGAGTGAGAGAGATACATTACTGTGAGTGAGAGAGATACATTACTGTGAGTGAGAGAGATACATTACTGTGAGTGAGAGAGATACATTACTGTGAGTGAGAGAGATACATTACTGTGAGGAGAGAGATACATTACTGTGAAGATACTTCTGTGAGGAGAGATACATTACTGTGAGTGAGAGAGATACATCACTGTGAGTGAGAGAGATACATTACTGTGAGTGAGAGAGATACATTACTGTGAGTGAGAGAGATACATACTGTGAGTGAGAGAGATACATTCACTGTGAGTGAGAGAGATACATTACTGTGAGGAGAGAGATACATTACTGTGAGTGAGAGAGATACATTACTGAGTAGAGATTGATGGAGAGATACATTACTGTGAGTGAGAGAGATACATTACTGTGAGTGAGAAGATACATTACTGTGAGTGAGAGAGATACATTACTGTGAGTGAAGAGAATACATTACTGTGAGTGAGAGAGATACATTACTGTGAGTGAGAGAGATACATTACTGTGAGTGAGAGAGATACATTACTGTAGTGAGAGAGATACATTACTTAGTGAGAGATACATGTGAGAGAGAATACATTACTGTGAGTGAGAGAGATACATTACTGTGAGTGAGAGAGATACATTACTGTGAGTGAGAGAGATACATTACTGTGAGTGAGAGAGATACATTACTGTGAGTGAGAGAGATACATTACTGTGAGTGAGAGAGATACATTACTGTGTAGTGAGAGAGATACATTACTGTGAGTGAGAGAGATACATTACTGTGAGTGAGAGAGATACATACTGTGAGTGAGAGAGATACATTACTGTGAGTGAGAGAGATACATTACTGTGAGTGAGAGAGATACATTACTGTGAGTGAGAGAGATACATTACTGTGAGTGAGAGAGATACATTACTGTGAGTGAGAGAGATACATACTGTGAGTGAGAGAGATACATTACTGTGAGTGAGAGAGATACATTACTGTGAGTGAGAGAGATACATTACTGTGAGTGAGAGAGATACATTACTGTGAGTGAGATAGATACATTACTGTGAGCGAGAGAGATACATTACTGTGAGTGAGAGAGATACATTACTGTTAGTGAGAGAGATACATTACTGTGAGTGAGAGAGATACATTACTGTGAGTGAGAGAGATACATTACTGTGAGTGAGATAGATACATTACTGTGAGTGAGAGAGATACATTACTGTGAGTGAGAGAGATACATTACTGTGAGTGAGAGAGATACATTACTGTGAGTGAGAGAGATACATTACTGTGAGTGAGATAGATACATTACTGTGAGCGAGAGAGATACATTACTGTGAGTGAGAGAGATACATTACTGTGAGTGAGAGAGATACATACTGTGAGTGAGAGAGATACATTACTGTGAGTGAGAGAGATACATTACTGTGAGTGAGAGAGATACATACTGTGAGTGAGGAGATACATCACTGTGAGTGAAGAGATACATTACTGTGAGCGAGAGAGATACATTACTGTGAGTGAGAGAGATACATTACTGTGAGTGAGAGAGATACATTACTGTGAGTGAGAGAGATACATTACTGTGAGTGAGATAGATACATTACTGTGAGCGAGAGAGATACATCACTGTGAGTGAGAGAGATACATTACTGTGAGTGAGAGAGATACATTACTGTGAGTGAGAGAGATACATTACTGTGGTGAGAGAGATACTTATGTGAGTGAGAGAGATACATTACTGTGATGAGAGAGATACATTACTGTGAGTGAGAGAGATACATACTGTGAGTGAGAGAGATACATTACTGTGAGTGAGAGAGATACTTACTGTGAGTCAGAGAGATACATTACTGTAGTGAGAGGATACATTACTGTGAGTGAAGACGGTATCATACTGTGAGTGATAGAGATACATTACTGTAGTGAGAGAGATACATTACTGTGAGTGAGGTAGATACATTTACTGTGAGTGAGAGAGATACTTTACTGTGAGTGAGAGGTACATTATGTTGAGTGGGAAGATACATTACTGTGAGTGAGAGGATACATACTGTGAGTGAGGAGGATACATTACTGTTGTGAGAGAGATACATTACTGTGAGTAGAAGATACATTCTTGTGAGTCTGAGAGAGATAATTTGTAGTGAGAGAATACATACTGTGGAGTGAAGAGATCATTATGTGAGAAATTAAGAGATACATTCGTGTGAGTAGAGTAGGATACGTTACTGTCAGTGATGAGTATGATCATATTTGTGTACAGAATTCAGAAGTATTTCTTGTGAGTTTCTTCAATGAGGTAAATAGTGTGTGAATAAGGACATGTGTGGAACACGTCTGGTTCTTTATTCTGGAGACTAATATCTTTTATAGTTTATTCTGAGTGTGTGTGTGGTGTGTGTGGTGTGTGTGTGTTAGTGTGATGTGTTTGTCTTGTGATGACTCGTTGTGGGTTATTCAATGATATTTTTTTACAGGAAATTGCTGTAAGTATTTCTATGAGAAAAAGATTTTTGAGAATGAGGTTATATGTTATGTGTGTGAACTCATCTAAATGTGGTTGCAAGGGTCGAGTCACAGCTTCTGGTCTCTTCTCTTTACTGGCCGCTACTAAGTCACTCTTTCTGCACCATGAGCTTTATCATACCTGTATGTGTGTGTGTGTGTGTGTGTGTGTGTGTGTGTGTGTGTGTGTGTGTGTGTTCACGTGATGCACACTAACCAAGGGTGTGGGGTGTACTCCACAGGCGTACTATCTTCAGAGAACTGTTCCGGCTGTACCCAGCACACGCCTGTAAGGAATACAACAGCAACTGGCCCAACCTCGTCAAATATTGCGGCTACAGGTGAGCTATGTGCAATAGTCGAGGACGAGAGATAAAAGGTTCAAAATAACCACAGGGAGAGTTGAATGATAGCTCCAGGCCTTTCATGTTGCAATCAACACATCATCAGGACCTTCCAATGGTGCAGAAATAGAGCAGGAAATGCAGGCAGACTCTTTCAAGGAAACGACTCCTGATGATGTGTTGCCTGCAATACGAAAGACCTAGAACTATCATTCAACTTCCTGTGGGGTTATTTGGGGTTTGTGTGTGTGTGTGTGTGTGTGTGTGTGTGTGTGTGTGTGTGTGTGTGTGTGTGTGTGTGTGTGTGTGTGTGTGTGTGTGTGTGTGTGTGTGTGTGTGTGTTGTGTGTTGTGTGTGTGTGTGTGTGTGTGTGTGTGTGTTGTGTGTGTGTGTGTGTGTGTGTGTGTGTGTGTGTGTGTGTGTGTGTTATTTTTGTACTGAATTATAAATTAAAAATACATGTTGTATTAATAAACTGTATGAAGTGTCTCCCTGACAGAGAGGACAACATACCACAACTGGCAGACATCGACAAGTACCTCAAGCGTGAGTCTTTATCGTTATTGACTTTATTAGTATCCTGGGGAGGCAGGAATCACCTTTGTGATGCTCGAACCTCCGTCCCTCCATCACAGCTCGGCTATTAAAGCAGACCCGACCGTGGAACTTTCCTTAGCCCACTGGGCTATGTCCACGATCAGACTACCCCGTAAGGGTTTAGACCTTTCCCCACGAATATAATAACCAAAACAAATACAATTCGTCGTGTTGCTGCGTACACGAATAACTCCGCGTTTACGAAAGCGTGGGACACTAATGCCGATGTTTAAACCAGACTAGAACCATTAACAAGTCACAACGAAGTGAGATGGGAAGAAGGCCACTATATATACATATATATTGAGAGAGGTGGGGGAAAGGAGCCACAATTCACATCTCTCTCTATCTTCCACATCTCTGTATTTAACTTCGCTCTATATTTCTCACTTTAAACGAACGTGGATAACAAACTGTTCTTAATGTAAGGAGACGAAGGTTCGAGCCCACAGTTATCCCTTCTTGATATTCAAATCTGTGTAGCAGATTAAACATTCTTGCAAAAGCAGACGTGTAGGATCTTGCTATTCTCTAGGATTCTTGGGGATTAATAGAGATTCTATAGGATTTTACAGGATTAAAAATTATTCTATTTAATTCTTGGGAATTAAAGATTTTTATTGGATTTTGTGCGATTCTATAGGATTCTGTGTGATTCTATAGGATTATGTGCGACTCTATAGAATTCTGTGCGATTCTATAGGATTCTCTGTGATTCTATAGGATTCTGTGTGATTCTGTAGGATTCTGTGAGATTCCATAGGATTCTGTGTCATTCTATAGAATTCTGTGAGGTTCTCTTGGATTCTGTGCGATTCTATATTATTCCGTGTGACTCTATAGTATTCTGTGTGATTCTATAGGATTCTGTGTGATTCCATAAGATTCTGTGTGATTCTGTAAGATTATATGTGATTCTATAGGATTCTGTGTGATTCTATTGGACTGTGTGATTCTATAGGATTTTGTGTGATTCTAGAGGAATCTGTGTGATTCTATAGAATTCTGTGTGGTTCCATAGGATTCTGTGTGATTCTGTAGGATTCTGTGTGATTCTATTGGATTCTGTGTGATTCTATTGGATTATGTGAGATTCTATAGGATTCTGTGTGATTCTATAGGTTTCTGTGTGATTCTATAGGATTCTGTGTGATTCTATTGGATTCTGTGTGATTTTGTAGGATTCTGTGTGATTTTGTAGGATTCTGTGTGATTCTATAGGATTCTGTGTGATTTTATTGGATTCTGTGTGATTTTGTAGGATTCTGTGTGATTCTATTGGATTCTGTGTGATTCTATTGGATTATGTGAGATTCTATAGGATTCTGTGTGATTCTATATGTTTCTGTGTGATTCTATAGGATTCTGTGTGATTCTATGGGATTATGTGCCATTCTATAGGATTCTGTGTGATTCTAGAGGATTCTGTGTGATTCTAGAGGACTCTGTGTGATTCTAGAGGATTCTGTGTTATTATATTGGATTCTGTGTGATTTTGTAGGATTATGTGTGATTCTATTGGATTCTGTGTGATTCTGTAGGATTCTGTGATTCTACTAGATTCTGTGTGATTTTATTGGATTCTGTGTGATTCTACAGGATTATATGTTATTCTATTCTATAGGATTCTGCCTGATTATACACATGAGTCTATGAGATTCTATAGAATTTTATAAGATTCTGCAGAATTCTACAAGATTCTATAGGATTCTATAAGATTATATAGGATTCTATGTGATTATTTAGGCTTGCATGTGATTTTACGAGTTTTTATTCGAATCTTTGCGATTCAAGGAGATTCTATGCTATTGTATTGGATTGTATGAGATTCTATGGGATTCTTTAAGACTGTCTCGGGATTCTAAGCCTGTTATTATTATTATTATTTTACTACCACAGAAATATTTTATTCACTGGGAAGTGCTTGACCCGTAGGGGTCATACAGCTCCCGTGGGAAGGAAGGCAATGAGGTTTGATCCAAGGAATGAGAGGATAGTTCCAGTAGTAGTAGTTGTAGTGGTAGTAGTAGTAGTTGTTGTAGTAGTTGCAGTAGTAGTAGTAGTAGTAGTAGTAGTAGTAGTAGTAGTGGTAGTAGTAGTAGTAGTAGTGACAGTAGTAGTAGTAGCAGTGGTGGTGGTAGTGGTAGTAGTAGTAGTAGTAGTGGTAGTAGTAGTAGTAGTAGTGGTAGTAGTAGTAGTAGTAGTGGTGGTGGTAGTGGTAGTAGTAGTAGTAGTAGTGGTAGTAGTAGTAGTAGTAGTGGTAGTAGTAGTAGTAGTAGTAGTAGTAGTGGTGGTAGTGGTAGTAGTAGTAGTAGTAGTGGTAGTAGTAGTAGTAGTAGTGGTAGTAGTAGTAGTAGTAGTGGTGGTGGTAGTGGTAGTAGTAGTAGTAGTAGTAGGGGTAGTAGTAGTAGTAGTATGTAGTAGTAGTAGTAGTAGTGTAGTGGTAGTAGTAGTAGTAGTAGTGGTAGTAGTAGTAGTAGTAGTAGTAGTAGTGGTGGTGGTAGTAGTGGTAGTAGTAGTAGTAGTAGTAGTGGTAGTAGTAGTAGTAGTAGTAGTGGTAGTAGTAGTAGTAATGGTAGTAGTAGTAGTGGTAGAAGAGTAATAGTAGTAGTAGTAGTAGTAGTAGTAGTAGTAGTAGTAGTAGTAGTAGTAGTAGTAGTAGTAATAGTAGTAGTAGTGGTGGTGGTAGTGGTAGTAGTAGTAGTGGTAGTGATAGTAGTAGTAGTAGCGATAGAAGAGTAATACTATTATTATTATTAGCAGTAGTAGTAGAAACAGTAGCATTACACTTGTGATGGTGGTGGTAGTGACAGTGGGAGGTGTGGTAGTGGTAGCAAGTGGTAGCAGTGGTAGCTAGTGGTTGTGGTGGTAGTGGTAGCCAGTGGTGGTAGTGACAGTGGGAGGTGTGGTAGTGGTAGCCAGTGGTAGTGGTAGCCAGTGGTAGTGGTAGCCAGTGGTAGTGGTAGCCAGTGGTGGTGGTGGTGGTGGTGGTGGTGGTGGTGGTGGTAGTGGTAGTCAGTGGTGGTGGTGGTGGTAGTGGTAGTCAGTGGTGGTGGTGGTGGTGGTAGTAGTGGCTAGTGGTGGTGGTACTAGTGGTTAGTGGTGGTGGTGGTGGTGATAGTAGTGGCTAGTGGTAGTGGTGGTGGTAGTAGAGGCTAGTGGTGGTAGTCGTGGTGGTGGTAGCAGTGGCGAGAGGGCTAGTGCTGGTGGTGGTGGTGGTGGTGGTAGTAGTAGTGGCTAGTGGTGGTGGTGGTGGTACTAGTGGCTAGTGGTGGTGGTGGTGGTGGTGGTGGTGATAGTAGTGGCTAGTGGTGGTAGTAGTAGTGGCTAGTGGCGGTGGTGGTACTAGTGGCTAGTGGTGGTGGTGGTGGTGGTGGTGGTGGTGGTGATAGTAGTGGCTAGTGATGGTGGTGGTAGTAGAGGCTAGTGGTGGTAGTCGTGGTGGTGGTAGTAGCAGCACTACCCACGACCATCTATCACAGTAGTCGTCCTCGTGCAGGTACAACCGGCTTCTCACTGCGTCCCGTGGCCGGATATCTCTCCCCTCGAGACTTCCTCGCCGGCCTCGCCTTCAGAGTCTTCCACTGTACCCAGTACATCCGCCACTCCTCTGATCCCTTCTACACTCCTGAACCGTGAGTACACTCCCTTCTACACTCCTGAACCGTGAGTACACTCCCTTCTACACTCCTGAACCGCGAGTACACTCCCTTCTACACTCCTGAACCGTGAGTACACTCCCCAGCACACACCCTCCTAGTATGTACTCTCTCTAGTACACACTAGGTGAGTACAACCTGTGCTACTACTTCTAGTGCTAATAATAACAACAACAATAATAATAATAATAATAATAATAATAATAATAATAATAATAATAATAATAATTATTTTTTTAATTTTCTTGCCACAGTGACTGCTGTCATGAGCTACTGGGGCACATGCCCATGCTAGCTTGCCCATCTTTCGCCCAGTTCTCTCAGGAGATTGGTTTGGCATCTCTGGGTGCCAATGATGAGGATCTCCAGAAGATAGCAACGGTGAGTGCCAGTTGGCACTGAGTGTTATGTGTGTCTCAGTGAGTATATACACTGAGATATATACACCTCTCAGTGTATATACACTGAGATATACACCCCTCAGTGTATATACACTGAGATATACACCTCTCAGTGTATATACACTGAGATATACACCTCTCAGTGTATATACACTGAGATATACACCTCTCAGTGTATATACACTGAGATATACACCTCTCAGTGTATATACACTGAGATATACTTCTCTCACTGTATATATAACCTTCAATAACAATTATCTGCAGATATAATTCAAGATAATAATTATACTGCTCTTCTATAATTTATATAATCATTATATTTTATCAGTTATGTAATTCATTATAGGCCTATATAATCTACAATGACGTAGGCTTATCATTCTAATTATTGAAGACTAATGTAATCTCTGTACTCTTTCACAGTTGTACTTCTTCACTGTTGAGTTCGGGATGTGTAAGGAGGTGAGTATACATCGAGTACATGTACTAGCTTTGTTAAAGTACTCCTGAGTATATGTGTAGACGTGTGTGAGTGCGCACTGAGTCCATAAGAGTAGTCTTGAAAGGTAACATAGAGAGAACATGTACTATTGTGCATGTATTATGGGCTTGAGTACAAAGTGAGTACGTGTACTAAAGTCTTGTGTTAGTACACTCTGAGTAATGGAAGCATAGCATTGTGGGTACACATGTACTAATCTCGGAGGAGTACACACTGAATGCATGCACTAGCGAGGTAGTACACGGAATTACATAGTACATATAATGTATAAGTCTTCGTGTCGGGAACTGTACTCACAGCAGTAGTTGTTGTTGTAGTAGTAGCAGTAGTACTGTAGTTGTAGCAGAAGTAACAGTCGTAGTAGTAGTAATTGTTGCTGTAGTAGTAGTTGTTGTTGTTGTAGTCATAATAGAAGTAGTAGTAGTAGCGTAGTAGTAGTAGCGTAGTAGTAGTAGCGTAGTAGTAGTAGCGTAGTAGTAGTAGCGTAGTAGTAGTTGTATCAGTAGCAGTGTAGTAACAGTAGTAGCAGCAGTAGAAGTAGCAGAAGTAGCAAGAGCAGTAGCAGTAAAAGTAGTAGTAGCGGTAGCAGTAGCAGCAGCAGCAGCAGCAGTAGTAGTAGTAGTAGTAGTACTAGTAGTAGTCTAGCAGAAGCAGCAGCAGCACCAGCAGCAGCAGTAGCAGCAGCAGCAGCAGTAGCAGCACCAGCAGCAGTAGCAGCAGCACCAGCAGTAGCAGCAGCAGCAGTAGCAGCAGCAGCAGCAGCAGCAGTAATAGTAGCAGTAGTAGTAGTAGTAGTAGTAGTAGTCTAGCAGTAGCAGCAGCAGCAGCAGCAGCAGTAATAGTAGCAGTAGTAGTAGTAGTAGTAGTAGTAGTAGTAGTAGTCTAGCAGTAGCAGTAGCAGCAGCAGCAGTAATAGTAGCAGTAGTAGTAGTAGTAGTAGTAGTAGTCTAGCAGTAGCAGCAGCAGCAGTAGCAGTAGCAGCAGAAGCAGTAATACTAGCAGTAGTAGTAGTAGTAGTAGTCTAGCAGAAGCAGCAGCAGCAGCAGCAGCAGCAGCAGCAGTAGCAGTAGCAGCAGTAATAGTAGTAGTAGTAGTAGTAGTAGTAGTCTAGCAGCAGCAGCAGCAGCAGCAGCAGCAGCAGCAGCAGTAGCAGTAGCAGCAGTAATAGTAGTAGTAGTAGTAGTAGTAGTAGTCTAGCAGCAGCAGTAGCAGCAACAACAGCAGTATTAACCACCAGCTCCCCCTCCCACAGGCTGGAACACTCAAGGTGTACGGTGCTGGTCTACTCTCCAGCATAGGTGAACTACGACACTCTGTGTCACCAGCAGCTAAGGTAGAACCATTCCACCCTGACACTGTCTGCAGCGTCACCTGCCTCGTCACCACCTTCCAGAACCAGTACTTCTTTACTGACACTTTCGAGGAGGCTAAGGAGATGCTTAGGTGAGTTAGCACCTGAATAATAATAATAATAATAATAATAATAATAATAATAATAATAATAATAATAATAATAATAATAATAATAATAATAATAATAATAATAATAATAAAAAATTTTATTTTTGAAATTATTAATAATTTTGCTTCGTATATTGTTTGTCAGTGTATATACACTGGTAGTTTACATTAATCAGTATTTTAGGTATTAAAGTATTCTTGACTGGTGGTGTACAGGTGACATGCAGCCTTAATGACCCTCGTGTAGTAGATAGACTTTAAACCCCATTAACCAACCTACCAGCCTTAATGACCCTCGTGTAGTAGATAGACTTTAAACCCCATTAACCAACCTACCAGCCTTAATGACCCTCATGTAATAGATAGACCTTAAACCCCATTAACCAACCTACCAGCCTTAATGACCCTCGTGTAGTAGATAGACTTTAAACCCCATTAACCAACCAACCAGCCTTAATGACCCTCATGTAATAGATAGACCTTAAACCCCATTAACCAACCAACCAACCAATGACCCTCGTATAAAATATAGACCCAGCTTTCTCTTCTCAGCCCTCTCTCTCTTACTCACATTATTTTCCCAGGGACTACGTCTCAAGGATTCAGAGACCTTTTGGAGTGCGCTACAATCCTTACACTCAGAGCGTGGAAATCCTCAGCAATGCTGAGAAGATTGCTGCCTTGGTGTCAGAGCTGAGAGGAGACCTGTGTATCGTCAGGAACGCTCTGCAGAAGATCCATGTAAGTGTCCAGTCAAGGAGGAGGAAGAAGAGGAGGAGGAGGAAGAGGAGGAGGAGGAAGAGGAGGAGCAGGAAGAGGAGGAGCAGGAAGAGGAGATGAAGTGCCCTTTGAATTTGAAGTTGTTTATTGTTTATTCAATTGTGACTGGCAACATTCCCACATTTTCAGTAACATTCTTGCTGTAATTTCAACATCACTCCCACAATTTAACATTTCAAGAAATTTAGCTTCATCATTTCTACAATTTTAACATCATCATTCCCACAATTTTATCATCACTGCTAAAATTTTATCATCACTGCTACAGGAACATGATGAAGATGTGAACATTGAGAACATCACCAGCATCTTAACATCAGCTCTCAAGACTGAAGACTCTACGAAGACTTAATTACCTCTCTCTCTCTCTCTCTCTCTCTCTCTCTCTCTCTCTCTCTCTCTCTCTCTCTCTCTCTCTCTCTCTCTCTCTCTCTCTCTCTCTCTTCTCTCTCCCTCTCTCCCTCTCTCTTTTCTCTACCTTTTTCCTGTCTATATTTCGACCCTTGGGTTATATTTTTAAATAGGATTGAGTGATACATAATAGTGTGCTTCCTTAGGAAAAAAAGACATACATATATACTAAAAATAAAATTGTTGTTTTATATATATATATATATATATATATATATATATATAATATATATATATATATATATATATATAATATATATATATATATATGTATATATATATATATAAAATATATATTATATAATATATATATATAATATATATATATATACATACATAAGTCTGTGTAACACTGTGATAGATTCATTTACTTTAGGTCAATGTTGATCATATTAGGTCACAGAGAGGCTGGTGACCTGACCTGACCTGCCCTTGACTTTTATTATTGACCTTCCTGGTTGACCTGCTGTAGTTGATGTCTATTGACCTGAAGTCTGATGGAAGTGTATGGAGACTATGTTACTCAGTAGATATACTACTACTACTACTACTAATAATAATAGTACTACTACTACTGCTATTATTACTACTACCACTACTACTATTACTACTACTACTTAAAATAAGCCTGACCTTAAATTTAGGTTGACCTTGCACTAAGGTGTGACCCCTGAAGACAAAAATAATGACCTTTCACGGGGGTTGACCCCAAGGGAAGACCTTCACTGACCCCAGCTAGTCAATAGTGACCTTCCTTGACCTTTGACCTCACCTGAATATAATCTTCCGCTAAGCAACATTGACAATAACACTGTAATATCTAGCAGAATGACTCGCGTGTATAAATATCGAAGATAATATCATTTTAAGGCAATGTAATTTTAAAATATAATATCAGAAATAATGTAATTGGATATTTTATGGAATATAACTTAAAATAGCAGATTACTCTACTAGAAATAGCCATTCTATTAGTTATCGCAATTAACTAACCGCGAAGGTATCTATATTAGCTAATAAACTAAAAGAAATTATCTGTTTTTTATTTATCCAGATATATATGTATAATATATATATATATATATATATTATATATATATATATATTATATATATATATATATATATATAAAATATATATATATATTTTCACACATCCCTACTGCTGGTGTTTGATTTCCCTTGTGTGTTGCTTGCTTGCATTTCTATCTTCGTGTGAGGTTGGTGTTCTCTTGGGGAGGAAGAGTGTGAGGTCTTGAGTTATCGTCTGGCACTTTAAGACGTTTTGTCTGGTAAACGTTCTGTACTCTGACAGGATTGCTGGCTTCTTTTCACAACTGTCTGGTGAAGAAGTGAGATGACGTGGTAAATCTTAATTGTCCCCCAGGAGGCGACCCATACAAGTCAACTAACACCCAGGTACCTACTTACTAGTAGGTGAACAGTGACAGGAGGTGTCTTAGGGGAACACGGCCTAATGTTTCCACCTGTACCGGGTCAGTTCCGTTATCGCCACTGTGAAAGACGCTGTTGGTGTTCCGTAGTGGAAGGCTTGCCCCTAGGTGCCTGTCTACCCATTGTTGCGTCATGACGCAGGCAACGCACCGCTGGCTTGCAAGGGAGTAACAACCGGGGGTTGCAACACAGTGTCACGCCTGAGCGACACAGACTTGTTTCTCGGAGTCGTTATGCATTTTGCACTCACTGATTGCAACAACAGAAGCAACAGCCAAGTGATGGTCATCATTCTAAAGTGGGAAGTTATCGTCAGTGCAACATCCAAGAAAGTACCAACAGTGCGAGTAGATGGTAGTATGTAGGATATATATACACTGAGAGGTGTATGTCTCTCAGTATATATATACTGAGAGGTGGATGTCTCTCAGTGTATATACACTGAGAGGTGTATGTCTCTCAGTGTATATATACTGAGAGGTGGATGTCTCTCAGTGTATATATACTGAGAGGTGTATGTCTCTCAGTGTATATACACTGGTAGTTTACATTAATCACAATTTTGGGTATTAAAGTATTCTAGACTGGTGGTGTACAGGTCACATGCAGCCTTAATGACCCTCGTGTAGTAGATAGACTTTAAACCTCATTAACCAGCCAACCAGGTAGTCGAGTTCACACAGTGACTCAGAGCTTCTCAGCATGCAAGACATCTTCGTCTCAGCACCTGTTTAGTGTATGTTATTTAAGTGGTCACACATGCTACTAAGACAATTGTAAAAATCTAATCAAGTATACGGTACCTATGTAAAATGACCTGTGTATAGGTCAGCATGCATATCGGGGATTACCAATAGACCCCAGGCTGTCTTCAAGACTCCCTGGCTGTCTTCAAGACTCCCTGGCTGTCTTCAAGACTCCCTGGCTGTCTTCAAGCCCCCGGCTGTCTTCAAACCCCCGGGTGTTTTTCAAGACCCCCGGGCTGCTTAAGACCCCTGGTGTCTTAAGACTCCCTGGCTGTTTTCAAGCCCCCCTGTGTCTTAAAGTCCCTGGTTGTCTTCAAGCTCCGGGCTGTCTTAAAGACTCCCGGCTGTCTTCAAGCCCGGCTGTCTTCAGACTACTGGCTGTCTTAAAGCCCCCTGGCTTTTTTTTAAACCCCCGGCTGTCTTCAGCCCCAGGCTGTCTTCATACTCACTGGCTGTTTTCAAGACCCCTGGGCGTCTTAAAGCCCCTGGCTGTCTCGGGACCCCGGGTGTCTTGAAGAGGGATGAACAGGCACCTAATGTCAGTACCTGACCAGGGGGCGGGGTAGTGTCGGATGGGTGTGTCTTTAACACCCTGGTAAACAGGCTTGATCACCCGGAGATGTAGTTGAGCATGGCCGGGGGGGCGTTGCCCCCCGTTTTCATTGTCCTTCCGAATGCACAAACAATATTATTTTTTAAATAGGAGAAATAACGTTTTTCCCCAAAAAAATTTTTTTAAATTTAAAATTTTTAAATAAACATTTTTGATATTTGTCAATGGAAATATAAGGTAATGAAATTTCTTATATAGCGTTTTTAAAATTTTTATTTTTTACTCTGAAGTTTAAAAGTAATTATTTAGTGAAACAAAATTTTAATTAATATAAAAATATAATAAAAATAATAAAAATAATAATAATATAATATCAATATATTAAATAATATATTTATATATATATATTATATTAATATAATTATATAATTTTATATTAAAAAAATAATATTATAAATATATAGTAATATTATATATAATTTTTTATAATATATATATATTATATATTATGTTTTATATATAATTATAATTATAAAATATATAATTTTTAATTATATATATATATTAAAGTCCCCTTCCAATAATTTTTTTTCAAGATTGAATTTTATTTTGGAGGAGAGTTTTTTTCCCCGCCCTTTACAAAAAGCCATGTCAATAATGTGATCAGTGGGCTTGGAAAGTAGGGTAGTAAGTGGGAACAATTTGCAGTGGGCGAAATAAAGCCGTGATGAAGCAGACAGTTCGCCATTGAAGAATCATCTTCTTTACCGGGGCCTATCACCGAAAAAAGCTGACACAGGGCAGGATTAATAATATTTTAAAATTTATAATATAATTTTAATATATATATATTAATATATTTTTATATTAAAATATATTTTTTATGACACAGATCTGGGCTTCAAAACACCCCGGAAGACCTGAAGGCTGAAGACCCAGGGGGGATCAAAGCACCAAACAGTTCTCCCCACCTGCCCCGTCGCTGATTTTTAATTAAAAATTGAGGTTCATATAGCCAATTTAATAAGCAAATTGATGTTTTTAAATATATTTCCCGCTGTTTTTACCAATTTTTCCCCAAATTTAAAATCAGACTGAAATGATCATCTACTGGTTCCTTCTTTAGATTTGGCTGTGGGGGAAAATCTGTCAGGTCAGCTGTACTCCATATCGACGTCCGAACCTGGGGGACACCTTACACTAAACAAAATATATATCCTGTTAATTTCAAACTTTTATGGTAAGCATTGATCCAGAAGTCAAAAATATCAATAAAGTAAAGTTCGATAAAAAAAAAAAATAGAGGAGGTCACAGTTTTGGCCATGACAAACTTTACTAGCATTCTGAAGTGCTGAAGCATTACGTTATATACAACAGTATTACAAGTTGAATATAGAATTACTGAACTGTACAACCTTGTCTCATCTATCTCTCATTCATCACCTCCCATTATCATATCTGAAATCACTACAGTGATTACCTGAAGCTGGTCGAAGTAGAGAGAGAGACGACTCAAGGAGTGTTCGTAAGAAGGGTCCCAAGAGAGGTCCTCAGGAACTGTCTTGTCTACCACGACGCTGCTTAGCTGTAAGGACCGTCCGTTGACAGGTGCCAGTGTCGGCAGTGCCAGAGATAGTGGCATGTTAAGTAATAAGCCTGGGAAGTAGCACTTACATAAATAATGAGCATCATGTCTGGGGGACATATTAACCTAACTGTCTGAGGTACTTGTTAGAGAGACTGCGTGTCACCTGTACACCAAGTCATGATTACTTTAATGTAAACTACCAGTGTATATACACTGAGAGACATATACCTCTCAGTGTATATACACTGAGAGATATACATCTCTCAGTGTATTTACACTGAGAGGCATATACCTCTCAGTGTATATGCGCTTAGAGATATACACTTCTCAGTGTATATACACTGAGAGACATACACCTCTCAGTGTATATACACTGAGAGACATACACCTCTCAGTTTATATATTTCTATGAAACAGTATTAAGTTAATCACTAATGACCCGATGAAGAGTAGTTAACTTAAGTTAAACTGGGAAGTAGTTAACAATATCACATGTAAATGATCATCTGACGTCAACAAACAGCGTGAATTCGTTATCGACTTACTAAATAATTATAAAAAACTTCTGAATCACTATGTCTGAGAATTATTGGGAAGTTAAAAGAGAGATTTATATTCACACCCCACACACACACACACACCACACAACAACAACACACACACACAAAACCACACACACACAACACCACACAACAGAGTTAGGTTAAGACTTACAGAACTTAATTGGGTTCTTAAGATTAGTAAAGAAGTATCTCTCTTCTCTGCTGCCTCCTGTCGTCGACCTGCTGCCTACCATTGCTGCCATCACTGCCACAATACACACTTCCAACCTCATCTACAAAAGTAAGAAAACAGATATAAAATATATATATATATATATATATATATATATATATTATATATATATATATATATATATATATATAAACAAACACTGATCTCTGGCTGAAGGAGACTCGAACCTACGAACTTTGGAACAAGGTACGCAGTGCTATACCATTCTCACCACACTGGACCGTTGTTAAAATCTCTAGTAAGGCTGATGCATGCAGGGGATGAGATGAAAAGCTGTAAGCCTTCTCCCTGAAAGCTGGCTGCCTTGGATCAAAAGTCTAGCGCAAGCTGGACTCCAAGGTATTGTCCAGTGTGGTGAGAATGGTATAGTACTGCGTACCTTGTTCCAAGGTTCGTAGGTTCGAGTCTCCTTCAGCCAGAGATCAGTGTTTGTGCATATTTCGCCTGCTCTTGCGAATTCCTTGCATATATATATATATATATATATATATGTGTGTGTGTACCCTACAGGGGTCGAGTTGTAGCTCCTGGCCCCGCCTCTTCACTTGTCGCAACTAGTTTCACTCACTCCCTGATCCATGAACTTTATCATGCCTCTTCTTAAAGCTATGTATAGATCTTGCCTCCACTACATCAATCGCTTCCTCACAACTCTATGACTGAAGAAATACGTCCTAACATCCCTGTGACTTATCTCAGTTTTCAACTTCCAGTTGTGACCCCTTGTTGCTGTGTCACATCTCTGGAACATTCTGTCTCTGTCCACCTTGTGAATTCCTCTGACTATTTTATATGTCGTTATCATGTCCTCTCTATCCTTCCTATCCTCCAGTGTTGTCAGGTCGATTTCCCTTAACCTCTCCTCGTAGGACATGCCCATTAGCTCCGAGACCTGTCTTGTTGCAAACTTCTGCACTTTCTCCAGTTTCTTGATGTGTGTGACCAAGTGTGGGTTTCAAACTTGTGCTGTATACTTTAGTATGGGACTGACGTACACGGTGTAGAGTGTTTTGAATTATTCCTTGCTGAGGTATTGGAACGCTATTCTTAGGTTTGCCAGGCACCCATATGCCGCAGCAATTATCTGGTTGATGTGCTCCTCAGGAGGTATGTTCGGTGTTATACTCACCCCAAGATCCTTTTCCTTGAGCGAAGTTTGCAGTCTTTGTCCACCTAGCCTATACTCTGTCTACGGTCTTCTTTGCCCTTCCCCAATCTTCATGGCTTTGCACTTGGTGGGATTAAACTCCAAGAATCAGTTGTTGGACCTTGTTTGCAGCCTGTCCAGATTCCTTTGTAGTCCTGCCTGATCCTCATCCACTTGTATTCTCCACATTAGCTTCACGTCGTCTGCAAACAGGAACACCTCTGAATCAATCCCTTCCGTCATGTCATTCACATATACCAGAAACAGCACTGACTCCTATGCAACCCTGCTCGTCACAGGTGCCCACTCTGATACCTCATCCCTTACCGTGTGTGTGTGTGTGTGTGTGTGTGTGTGTGTGTGTGTGTGTGTGTGTGTGTGTGTGTGTGTGTGTGTGTGTGTGTGTGTGTGTGTGTGTGTGTGTGTGTGTGTGTGTGTGTGTGTGTGTGTGTGTGTGTGTGTGTGTGTGTGTCAGAACTTGCAATACTATACATCAACAAGTAACATTTTAAAGATCGTAGTTATTTCGTTCTCTTTGTACACAAGAAAAATTGTGAATGCCTTACCTTAGTTACCAAGTTCTCTGCCAGAGATCCTGATAGAGACGAAGATAAGGATGTTACCTCAGCAGTATTGTAGCCACGACTCTTACACCAGCAGTGTTGTAGCCACGACTCTTACACCAGCAGTGTTGTAGCCACGACTCTTACAAACCCGCAGTGTTGTAGCCACGACTCTTACACCAGCAGTGTTGTAGCCACGACTCTTACACCAGCAGTGTTGTAGCCACGACTCTTACACCAGCAGTGTTGTAGCCACAACTCTTACACCAGCAGTGTTGTAGCCACGGGCTCTTACACCAGCAGTGTTGTAGCCACGACCTTTTCACCAGTAGTGTTGTAGCCACGACTCTTACACCAGCGTGTTGTAGCCACGGGCTCTTTCACCAGCAGTGTTGTAGCCACGACTCTTACACCAGCAGTGTTGTAGCCACGGCTCTTACACCAGCAGTGTTGTAGCCACGACTCTTACACCAGCAGTGTTGTAGCCACGGCTCTTACACCAGCAGTGTTGTAGCCACGACTCTTACACCAGCAGTGTTGTAGCCACGGCTCTTACACCAGCAGTGTTGTAGCCACGACTGTTATACTAGCAGTGTTGTAGCCACAACTGCTACACCAGCAGTGTTGTAGCCACGAGTGTTACACCAGCAGTGTTACAGTCACGAGTGTTGCAGCAGTAGTGAGACAACTCTCTCAGTGCTGACAGTATAATGGAGTGGCTTGCACAACACCAGGATAATCACCTCACTCCTTCTACTTCTAGTAGTCATGTCTTCCTCCTCATTTGACTCAGAGAAATAAGACTCTTGTGCAACATTTCGGTGTCATTATTGAGGAAATGTTTCGGCAGAAAGTGGCATTTCAGCCCAGTACAGAGAAGAACGGTGGGAAAGAAGGGGAGGGGGAGTGTGGGGTTTTATTAGCCCCTAAAAGTCGTTTTAAGCCTTATAAACATGTCGTTATACAGGGTTATCCTCTCAATGGCAATCTATCCCATTTTTTGAGTGTTTAATCACGTTTTTAAGATTGACTTTTCTGTTGTTTCTAAAGGGAAGGTATTTATGATCCCTCTAAAAGGGGGGATATTGAAATGGGTTCGATTTTTTGATGTTTCCGCTGAGGCCCCCGGGGTATTTATGTACTACCTAATTTTACCACCTAATTGTGGTTGCAGGGGTCGGACTCAGTCCTGGCCCCCCCCTCTTCACTGATCGCTACTGATCCTCTCTCTCTCTGCTTCCTGACTTTGTCTACCTCTTTTTAAACATTATGGTTCCTGCCTCCACTACTTCCTTCTAGGCTTTCCACTTGCTTTCAACTTATGATGAAGAAATACTTTAACGTCCCTGTGACTCGTCTGGTTCGCTTCCGTTGTGACCCTTGTCCCTGTGCCCCTCTGAACATCCCATCTCTGCCACTTGTTATTCCGCGTTCTTGATGTCGTTTTCAGTCCCCGACCCCTTTTGTCCCCCCATGTCGTCAGTCCGAATTCCCCTTAACTTCCTCTACGCATTCCCTTGAGCTCTGGGACTAGCTTGTTGCAACCTTTGTACTTTCTCTAATTTTTGACGGCTTGCCAGGTGTTTGGGTTCCAGACTGGTGCTGCATCTCAGTATGGGTTAACATACAAGTGTACAGTGCTTGACGTTCCTTATTAAGGTACGGGGAAAAGCTATTCTCGGTTTGCCAGGGGGTATGCGCAGCGGTTTTTTGGTTTTGTGTGCCTCGGTGTGGCCGGTGTTATGGCACCCCCGGTCTTTTTTCCTGAGTGAGGTCGTATCTTTGTCCCCCTGCCTATATTCGTCTGCGGTCTTCTTTGCCCTCCCCCATCTTCATGACTTTGCATTTGGCTGATTGAATTCGAGAGCCAGTTGACTGACCACAATTCCAGCCTCTCTCAGGTCTCTTTGCAGTTCCTGCCTCATCCTTCGTCCGATTTAATTCTTCTCATCAACTCACGTCATCTGCGAACAAGGGACACTTACAGAGTCCTATTCCCTTCCATCATGTCGTTCACCATTATATCAAAAATAGGCACTGGTCCTAGAACTGACCCCTGTGGGGACCCCGCTCGTATCAGCGCCCACTGTGATACCTCTCACACGTACCATGACTCGTTTGCTGCTCCCTGTCCAGGTTATTCCCTTATCCATTGCGTGCGCCTTCCTTTAACGTGTGCCTGAATCCTCCAGCTTCTGCACTAATCTCTTTGTGGGGAACTGTGCAAAGGCCTTCCTGCAGTCTAGGAAAATGCAATCTATCCCTACCCTCGCTCTCGTGTCTTACTTCTGTTAGCTTGTCATAAAACTCCAGGAGGTTTGTGATACAAGATTTGCCTCCTGAACCCATGCTGGTTTTCATTTATAATCTTGTTCCTTTCCGAGGTGTTCGAACCACGTCTCTCCTCCTGATAATCTTCTCCAGACTTTGCACACATACATGTCAAGACACAGTCTGTAGTTTAGTGCATCGTTTCTGTTCCTTTCTTAAATATGGGGACTTACATTAGCTGTCATTTTCCATTTCTCAGGTAGTTGCCAAGTTTTCAGGGATGTGTTGAAGATTGTGTTAGAGGACACACACAGCATCACTTCTCTGCACCATCTCTAAGGACCCATTGGGAGAGTTGTCCGGTCCCATCGCCTTTGAGGTGTCAAGGTCACTTAAGAAATAAAAGGCTTACTTCACCTCCCTCCTCAGTTTTTCGGTATGTCATCCACACTTGTTTGGTATATTCCCCTCTGATGTTCCCTTCTGTGGCGTCTTCCCACAGCCCTTCCCTTCTCTACTGTAAAACTTCCTTAAATCTCCTGTTCAGCTCCTCACATACCTCCTGATCATTTCTTGTGAGTTCTCCACTTACAGTCCTTAATCTGATCACCTGGTCTTTGACTGTTGTCTTCCTCCAGATGTGGGCTATAAAACAGTTTTCGGTCAGTCTTGATTCTCGATGCTAATGATTTTCATACTGTCGCTGGGCCTCCCTCCTTACCTGTGCGGACTCGGTTCCTGGCTCTGCGACTGATTTCTCCCTATTTTTCGTGTGTTCTCTGCCTTCTGTACTTTTTCCATTCCTCTATTTGGCACTTTGTTTTTGCCTCCTTAACACCGTCGTGTAAACAAGGGGCTTTGTTCTTTTCTTCCCGTTGTTACTCGTTGCCCTTGGGAAATGAACCTTTCCACTGCCTCCTGCATTTTTGTGCTAACAAATTCCATCATTTCGATTTAACTGGCTTTCCTGCCATTCCTGTCCCACTGGACCTCACCGCAGGAAGTTTCTTCAACCTATGTAGTCCCCTCTTTTATATCCGGCTTTTCCCATTCTACCTCCTTTTAATCTCTCCACTATGCAAGCTCTACCATGTAATACAAAGTCATACAGAACCACGTGTTCGCCTAGCTCCTAGGGGACTCTCATACTTGATGTCCTCAATGTCTGAGTCGCCAGGGTGAACACAAGGTCCAATCTTCTGGTCATCCCCCCTTCCCCCCCCTCTCACTCTGGTAGTGGTCCTTAAAATTGTTGGTGCATGGAGGTTTTCCAGCACCACGTCCCAATCACCTGGCTCTCCATGTTTCCGGGACCCCCATGTGGCTCCAGGTTTTCCCCAGTCAATCCTCCTGTGGTTGAAATCCCCATAAACAAGCAACTTAGCTCCTGCTGGAGTGAGCTCTTCTTGCCACCTCAAGCAAGTGTGTCCACCATTTGCTCCTGTTGCTCTCTTAATATTCCTCTTACTGGCCTCCTGCATTCGTGGTGGAATTATAACATCACTGCAACATGACCACTTGGTTCCCCAGACGAAGTGTACCTGCTATAATCTCTTTCTCCTGTCAATCTATTCCTTCCATTTCGCGAATTTCCATCTGTTTTTTTTACGAGCAGAGCACCCCACCACCCCCCCTACCCCTCTATCTTTTCCTCATGATGGTATCCTGGTGGCAGATTTGCATCTGATATTGTCTCCATGATTTTTTGTTTCTGTAACTGCAAGATGTCTGGTGATACTCATTGATTCTTCTTTCCATTTGTCCTCCATGTTAAATCGTTAATCCATCTGCATTTGTGTACCCCAAACTTCAACTTCCTGTTCTAAACTGTAACTGTTGGTCGGGGGGTGGAAACATAGGATCGTGTAAATGATGGTTGGGGGTTTGGAATGTTCAGTTGCCTTGGGGGTGTCGGTGGCTGGAGTCCCTTCTGCCAGGTGTTTCTGGGGTGCGCATGTCCTTTGTCCATTTGATCCTGGGTTATTCTGCTCTCCTTTTCATTTCCTCCCATTTCACCTTTCGTTTTTGAAACTCTCTCTTTCATTGACTTTCCTTTTCGTCCCTGTGTCTTTCTCGGTCGAGGTACACACTTCCGGCACTCCCTCTTGCCTCTCACCGTGCTTTCTCCTGCAGGTCATGGTTTCGGGTGATTCTGCCTTGAAAGATTACTTTGAGAGGCCGATTCCTTTCTTTGTGAACCACCCAATTCTCCGAAATTTGCCACCTGGTCATGTCCCTCCCCCTCGCCTATCAGCCTTCATATGTCTTCAAAACGCTTTTTTCTCTCCTCCGGCTGTCTTTTCATCCATTAGATTCCCCTTTTACTTCGTCGAGTCCCATAGACAAACACGTATCTCTCCCTTTCCACCTCCCACTGTGACTCCCATTGCATCCTCTTGAGTGTTATAGTTCCTTCCGGTCCCGTGGAGTGTTCCTTCCTTCCGTCCCCTTCCCTCGTTTGGCCCCTATGCTTCTTGTTTTATCCTTTCCGGCACACCTGCTCCGGCCCCCACAGGTATCTGGTAAGTCCTTGCACATGTCCTAGTTCCATCCAATGTCTCCAACCTCTCTTTTCTGTCCTAGCGTGCTCCCCCTGTCTTTGTTTTGGCGCCCCTTGTGGGTTTGACAGACCTCTGTCATACAGTTTAGTTTCCATGCTTCCAATCGGACCTGTTGTCTGGTTCGATGTGCCATTGCCGATGCTACTTCTGTATATCTTGTCTCTGTGCTGATTTCAGATGTCCTCACTCCTCTCTATCTTCTCTATCCTTGATTTCTGCTGCGTGGCCGTTGCTTCCACCTTCTGCATTCTGCTCTAACCTCTCTTTCCATCTTCCTTTCCAGCTCATCTAGTCCCTCCCTTCCCCAGTCTTCCTCCCTTTTTTGGAGCTCTGATCTCGCCATTCCTCCTTCTCAGATACGTCCTTGGAGCCCCTTGGTCCTCATCCAGGTTATGGGGGAGGGAATAGATGGTTAGGAGAGGGGAGGAT